TTGGTAGGATTTTTTATTTAGTTTAGTTGTCATTATTAAGCTACATTTTTTACAAGGAGGAGAGAAGAACTGCTAGATCCCTGTAATTTGTTTGTATCTATAATATCATTTAAATATATTACTACTTGGTTCCAATGTGCCTATGTCTTTAACGAAGAACGAGGGGAAGGAAAGAGAGGAGTAGGAGTTGAGGCAGGAGACTGGTAGGCGGCAGGTTAAGGTTGTTACGCAGTAGGAAAGAGTTAAAAGCCCACCGATTTGAGTTAGCCGGAGCATTTATTTTTATTTGTTACGCAGCCTGAGAAGAAGACGGTTTGCCTTGCCGGGCGGAACCGATGGTAATTTTCAAGTCCAGAAGAAACCCCCGTAGCAATATCTATCTTCATTAATTGAATCAAAAAGTAATATGAAAGTTCGTCCCGCACTTCTGCCCTATTAGGGACAGTCTGTATTTAACATGCTGGGTGTTCCAAAAAGAATGAGCATGGTTTGGATTCCACTCGTACGATTGTAGTGTAGTACTCAAAGAAATTATGAAGATAATGCCGGTTCATTTGCAGTGCAAGCTTCTTGAACAATAGGATTGTCAACTTTAAAGTGCCATCGTATTTTGCAGAACTACACCTGCACCTCTACGGATTTTGATCAGTAATTCAAAATGCACATAAGAGATTACTTTCAATCCTCTAAAAGTTGACATTTGGGTTGGAATGTCTCGTTCGAAGGCGCATTGTTGGTCCCCGTTTTTCCGACGATACCGCTAATGCGCAAAGATACCGCACGGAAATGTTAAATGCATTTTTAAATTGGATTTACGTTGACGAATTGAGGGAAGGATATTTTGAACAGGATGGAGCTACTGACAACACTGCAAATGTTACACTTCGATATTCGGAGCAATAATCGAGTAATTAGTACCTACGGGGTTATAGTGTCCCATTTCTTTCTTCTAACTAGTAGCCATTTCTTCTCTCCTACATTAAAAAGCAACATTTTTCAAAACCGTCTCCACGCACTTGATGGACTTCGAGAAACAGTCGCTGAGCGAGCTTGGAAGAACCTGCAATACTTTTGTTATAATTATTTATGTTCACTTAGGTACTTCATGTTTGTTCGTTTTAGTGTTATTGTTTAAACTGTTTTATTATAATTGGGTTGCATAAAATTAGGTGTCCTTCAGAAGAAATCATATATATAGGCTGGTCTAAAATATACTAACTGCGGAATTTTTAATATAGAGTCAAAAGTAGGTATACCGCAGACCGTTACAACTCGTTTCCTGAACCAAGTTCAAGCAAAATATCTGATAAGTCTTCAATTCAACACCTACTTCGCCTGGCAGTCCTTCAGGAACGGTATAATAAAAATGCGTTCAGCCAATTTTATCAGCTGAAATTTGACGCTAGAAACAGCAGTGTAAGCGTGCAATAGAGGTGAACGCGCCTAATGTGTCATTTAGGCAGCTCATCAAAGAGTTTGTCACGTACAAGTTATAAGTTACCGTAGTTACAACGTGACAGGTGTAAATGGCATTGCAAATCTTTTTGATTTGGTAAATAGAATGCCTTCGTTTACAACGCTGTATGTATTGTAGTATGGATGATCCGTTAAACACGCTATGAAAACCTCCAGAGTCCAGAAGCAGCGGCAGATTGAGAATAGCGGTAGGTATATCAAAACGCCTTACAAAAATTATTGACGTGCAACGGCGAGAAAGTTCGAAATTTACTACCGTTACCGATGCCAACCGGGTAGTGGCATAGAAATTACTCTTCAGATACTCTTATCGAGTTTTTCGTTTTCTAACTTTTTTCTAAAAACTGACAGTTGAAAAGCGAATAACTTAATAATTCTAATCAGAATGAAGTTGCAAATTAAATGTAGCATTTTAGTTTTTACGGTTTTTTGTAAGCTAATTCATATATTACTTATGTAAGTTTCATAAACGCCTTTAGACACAAGTTTTATGTTAAATACGAGCGAAGCGTGTGTTTAATATCGAGTGTCTAGAAAAGTTTATAAAACGCGTTACATACTATACTTTTTTTATTATACCTGAATCACAATCTCCGTTTTAAACACTCAAATGCGTGCGAAAAAGGGCGTTTAAAACACACGTGCTTTAAAGTTGCTAAGTAACGATACTTCAAGTATGACTTTTGAAACTGTCATCTGGATGAAATAAAAAATCCTCTTAGGTCGCTTTCTGTAAAGGCAGAACATTTCTTTGGCTTTTGTACCTATCCTTTCGTTGAATCTTTCACAAACGCGCGTAATTTAGGGTATGCTTCCAAATCTTTGCTCCACTTTTTAATCGCAGCATTGTTTTAAAGTTTTGAATGAATGCACCAAAATATAGAAGATTTAAATACCTTTGACATTTCCTTCATATATGCCAGCATTATGGATGCATTTAAGACTGTATTCGTAGGTAACTTCCTATTCATCCATGGAAACAACTTTTCATATTCTTTATAACAGGCTTTACTGGATTTGGATTTTACACCTACCAACGTTTGTTTAGATTTTACAAGCGATTTAATGGACGATGTATTATCTTTTTCAACGGAAATCGTTTTATTCATAAAGACGACGATTTTTATAAGCAAACGTCAAGTGACATTTCCATGGCAATCGTGAAATTTCGAACACCCAGCCCACTTAATTAAACATGTATTCGAGTATAACGTCAATATGACTGCATTGTATTCCCTATTTTTAAATTATACTGCAGGTATAATAAAAAATACTATAAGATACACGTGTATAATTGGTCTTTGAAGCACTTGCAACGTTAAAGGCACTCCGCTATGCGTCGTGCCCTTAAACTCGTTGCGCGTGCTTTAAAGACTTGATTATACACTTGTATCTTAATATACTATTTCTACGAAAATTGTGGACAGTGCACAAACATAACGTCCTCACAAAATGATCCTACACGGCTCTGTCATACTGATATCGTGATTTCTGATCACTGATGACTTTTGGTGCCGCTTGCGTTGTTTGAGGAGGAGTAGCCATATAATTTTTTATTATACCTACGTTTTGAACCCTCAAATGCGTGCAAAATCGGGCCTTTAAAACACACGTGCTTTAAAGGTTGCTAAGGTAATGTTACTTCAAATATGGCTTTATGAAACTGACATTTAGGACTGAAAAAAAATCCCCGATTTATGCAAATGCAAAAGATTTCTTTGGTTTATACCTATCCTTTGTTTGAAGCGTGTAATTTAGAGTATGCTACCAATTCTGTTCCATTTCTTAATCGCAGCGTTCATTGAAGTTTTGAATGAATACACCATCAAAGGGTAGGAAATTTAAATACATTTTGACATTTTCTTCATATATACCTGCATTATCGATGCATTTAAGACTTTGTTCGTATATAGCATCCTATTCATCCACGAAAAAGTTGTTTTTGCACTCCTTCGTTCTAAATCGCGTTTTCCCAATAAAACACGAACGTCTGGAACGTCAATTTTACAATTGACTATCTACTTTCGCGCACTAGTGCCTATAAATTCAACGAAATTATCTATTTAGTGCGGATCATAAACTAATAAGTAGTATGATGGAAGAGTAAAAAATAAAATATAAATACACTTTACATCATTCCCTGTAGTACACAGGCAAAAATTAACTTAAACCAGAAGTTTTGAACAATAAATTGCCATTTTTAAATTTTTAGATTTCTACTTTATCGACATAGAGGACTTGATTTTTTCAAAAGAATTATAATGTCGCAAAAATCTCGCGAAAAGGATTTGAATTTATATAAATTCGATTTAACTAATCCGTGCAAAAAATAGAATACATGTTACGTGCGTGAACAGTATTTGCTTGATTCGCGCCGCCAAACTTCGCGCTCATCTGCAAAATAACTGTTCTCGCACTAATAATGTAAATAACTATTTCATATTCATGATAATAGGGTTTACTGGATGTGGATTTTTCTCCTGTAACATTTTTTCTGATTTTGCAACAGTCCATTGAATTTACACAAACGGTGATTTTTACAAGCAAACGTCAAGTGACATTTCCATGGCATGAAATGACGAATAAAAGCCCACTTAATTAAACATGTAGGTACACGTATAGTTGGTCTTTAGACTTGATTATACACTTGTCTTTTAAGATATAATTTTTCTTCATTATCATTTTCTGTGTCAATTTTTGAAAAATAAGAATTCGTCTTACGATGAATGTCAAAATGAAAAACGTCAAACTACTAACTTGATTTAGTCAACAAAATTCAAACCCTGTTTAATGAAACTTCGAGCGTGTTTAATTGTCGGAAACACCCGAATCGGTACCAATAATATTATATTATTTTTATTCATCTTATACATTTACAAGCGAGTTATCGTAACGTGGTGCATCGCTCGCACTCGCTATTGCCATATGTACTACTAACTTCCTATCCACGAATAAAAAATGTTGCTATGGTAATACGTAAGTTAAGGGGAGCAAATACTGATTTTCATTTGGGATGTGATTCACATAATATATGGCTCGTATCCGCGCACGCTTTCCCATAATTTGTAAAATTTCTTTGTCGTTAACCTTTCGTTACTGGCGTGCCTAAGTATGACAACGTTACTGGCGTCGATCTCAGAGGTCAGATAGGAAACAATTTCGGGCCCAGAATGAGAATGTTATTGATACTAAGTTATTATTAACATTAAAAAATATTTATTTTAAAACAAAAGGATTGTACATATTTAAAATATAAACAAATAATAAACAAAATATACTTAGAATTTTACGAAAAAACTATGTGAAAGTATGTAATAGCAATAACTAAACGCTCTCACTTCTCTAATGTCTGTTCATAGCATTCCACTCAAAGAACGCTCTAAACACATACATAATACTTCCCACATCCTTTACATTAGTACGAAGGTGAATCAAATATAAACGAGACTATAGGGTGTTTTCAATATATTCGTACTAATCTAATTTGTACTGTATTTTATACATAAAGGTGAGCATAACGGTATGCGCTCATTAAAAAACGATATATTTAAGTATTTATAATGCAATAAGACTTAGAAAACTCATTAAAACCAACAATTTCAAAGGGAAATCTAAACGCAATTTCATTGGTCAATGCGATGTGACGTCTCACCGTATATAAATGGCGGATTGTTTACCTTTTCACCTTGGTAGATAGTGTTGTGTCGTATGTTTAAATTATATTGCGGGATTGTTTCGTGGATTATAAACTTGAAATGTCTTCAGAGAACTTTGTGAAAGCGTCCTCAAACAATTTGCCATCCGTAGACATTTTTATGGTGATGGAATTTATAAAAGAAGATGATCGTTTTAATGCAGCTGAATTCAGAAATGTGAAGGCAACAACGTAAGTAAATATTGTGATAAATTATCGCGAAATGCGTTTCTTTAAGATGGTTTAAGTAATGTACAAACAGTTGGATGGTGTTAAGTAGTTAATTTTATTAATTTTTTCACGTCACGTTAATTAGAGGTTAAGTTCTTAAACAAAAATAAATTTAGTTAGGGTTCAGTAGAGTGCAATCTAAATCCAAATAGTTTAAGAATGTCACGTTTCTTAACTCTAAAGTAATGTTTCAAAAACAGAGCAACTCGTGAGGCATATGGTGATAACGCCATTGGGTATGTGGAATTGAAGAGGGAGGGCCCTTTGTGCACTTTACAGTGCAAAATATGCCCAGAACACAGAGTCCGTTCGAAGAATTATGCCGTATCTTTAATTGTCGATGAGGAGGAAGAAAAAATAGTAAATGTAATCTGCAAAGATTGTGCGGCTGCGGCAGGTAATTTGTTATCTATAAAATTATGCTGAGTAGCTCTTTAATAACAATTTTTATAGGTGGGTGCAAGCATGCAGTTGCTTTTCTAATGTGGGTCCACCGTAGAAGTGAGGATCCTTCGCCAACCGATGTTACATCATATTGGACAAAGCCACGATTATCTACAGTTGGTACTTCTTTAAAATTCATAGCAGCTGCCGATTTTTCTGCTGGTTCTTGTTCCACGACTAGTGTCGGTAGATCAACATTTAGAGAAGAAATTGCAAATTTAGGATCAAGGGAAAAATTGGAAGGGCAGATCGTAAAGTATGTTATCCATGAAGACCAGGACAAATTTTATAAATTGTCAATTTATAAATCACTGTTCCACTTTCATGCAGAAGGGGGAACACAATCCAAAGATTTCCTATCATTCTCTACCGGACAAATGAGTTTGCAGTTGTGCAAAGAAGCAGAAAGATTAACGAGAGGTCAGTCAAATTCACCACTGTGGCATGAATTCAGATTTGGCCGCATAACTGCTTCTAAACTGCATGAATTTGCACACTGTAAGACTGCTGGTGGTAGCCTAGTCGAAGGAATAATAGGCGCATATAAAATAAAGGATACAAAGCACATGAAGAGGGGCAGGCTTTTAGAGAAAGATGTGCTAAAAACGGCAGAAAACCAACTCAACATGAAGTTTACAGAGTGTGGCTTATTTATGCTGCCGGAGTACCCAGTGTTTGGTGCCTCGCCAGATGCACTTTCATCACAGTTTGTCGTTGAAGTGAAGTGAAAAAACATTTCTAAATTATATCAAGGATGGCCAAATTCGTGCTAAGTTTAAAGCACAAATGCATTTACAAATGTTGTGTGCCCAAAAGGAAAAAGGATTATTTTGTGTTGCTCATCCAAATTATGAAGAAACAAAAAATATAACAATATTACATGTCGACTATGATGAAACATATTTAAGGACATTATTAACAACAGCTGTAGAAAACTGGGAAAAGTTTGTATTTCCAAAATTATATGCATCTGTTTCATAAATGTATTCTTTTAGCGTTAAATTAATTATGTTTGCAAATAAACAATAATAAACATCTGTCATGGTATCTTAAAAATGTATATTTCATATTTTGTGTACAATGATCATAGTAGTTAGTTATATCTGCTTTATAATAGAACCTTGTAAATTAATTAAAGCACATGCAACTGCTATAATAACGTCTGTATGTCCTATGAAATTGTGGTCTATAACAGAATGTGGTTTTAAATATTCACACTAGGTGGCCTAACTAACTGGCAATTTCTGTCAACTGTTTTGCAATATCTTTAAAACCTCTGTCAGCCATTACACTACATCCTGCAGGTAATACATCGAAATAGCCACTTTCCTCCACCAGCAAAGAATCACTTATTCTTCCACCATACCCCTTCGATATGAAGTTAATAAAACCGTCGGGTGTACATGAAATTAAATATTTTAAAGTATTACATTTTTTATAGTCTGACCAGGTAAGTGCTTGTTTGACAGGTTCTGTTGGTTTTTGAATTTGGATTTCCAAACAATCTATTATGGATTGAACATTGCTGTAATGTGCTCTAAATGGAATGGGTAAATAATACTTTATTTTATCACTAGACGGCCAAAATATCAGACTTTTTAAATGAGGCTCTATTTGCACTAAAGTCTTCTTAAAAATTTTTGATGCATTACACAAAGACATGCCAAACATGTCTCCTAAGCGAGCAAATGGATCGTTTAATTTAATTTTCATTAGCGTTAGCATTAAATTATCTTTACTTATTTTGGTTTTTGTACTGAGCAAATTTATAACATTAGAAAACCAATGATTTGGAATACCTGTATAATCCTTTGGTTTTTTTTCTATTAGTAACCGAGTAACATTCAACGCTTGCAACTTTTCCTCTTTCTGGTCTTGTGGAAAATTAATTTCAAAATCACTATCTTCTATTGTGCTTGCAACAAACGAACTAGATCCGACATCGGTGTCGGTGCTGCTACTTGTCTGTGGAAACCGAGGTGGAAACAATATTCTTTGAAATGTTGGGTATTTCTGCAACGGTGAAGTAGTAGAATCCTTTTTTACAGATTTCAATGGTGAAGTAGTAGCGTTGCGCATGCTGTTTGTTATTTTACATGTTATGTACTTGCTACGGTACGATGGTCTTGCTTGTACTCCAACACTTCGCGTTTGAGGAGGTACTGCCGATACTGCAGAAGTCAAATTCACATCTTCCAAAACAGAAGAGTGACAAACAGGGGCATTCATAACAGCACTGGTGCACGGGTCTTCAACATTGGCAAATGGTAAATTTTGCTGTATCTTGTCACTCTCTGTAATGGCTTCATCAACCAGTAATGGTAAATTTTGCTGTCTCTTATTGTCATTCTCTGCAATGGCTTCATCAACCAGTTGTTTTCTTGCTCGTTTGACAGGTAGCGTTCTTACGGGAACATTACTAGCCCTTTTCTTGTCTGGTTGACAGTCAAACCTATGAGGAACCACTGTCTGTTTTAGAATAATTTTTCCACCCATTAATTTATAACGTACAAAATTTTCTATATCTTCTTCCAGCTGTAATGAAAACAAAATTTATTTTCAATGAATTTTACTTTATATGTAGGTATAATGTCCTTACATTAAAATGATCTTCGCAGCAGTAAAACGTTGATTTTGATTTTGGCATATCTCTTCTAGCTGCTTTAAACCAATTTCTTCTGCGAGAATACTCAAGTGGTACAGAAATAAATATTTTGTTTGGCGTACTCCATTTATTTTGCGCGCCATACATTTTTAAACATGCACAATGTTAGGTAGTCTTTGATAGTAATAAAAACAATCTATATAAACATAAATTCACGGCAGAAAACAAATCAAAACCGTAGAACGCGTGCTGTTTATAATGACAGTTCCAGTGTTTACATGCACTGTGACGTAGTAGTTGAGAACAGGTGACCGTACAAACGCGCGGCTGTCCGTTTACGCGGCAAATTTCTGATTTCGAATTTTATTTTGAAATTACTCGAAAATGAAGGCTCGGATATTTTTTTTAAAATGTGTAGCTCGTTTATACGGCCAATGGGCTTTCGTTTTGTCCAGTTTTTAAAAAATGTGAAAACACCCTATTGGCCCTGCGCGCGTAATATACAAACTCCTTCAGTCTAGAAGTGTTGGGCGGGGGTATCAGAAGTGAGAGAAGCAATAGGGAGGTTCGACATTTTTGGTATTTGTTTTTTTTAACTAAAATCGAGAGATTTTGTTATTAAAAAACGATCAGAAAAAAATTGGGTGCAAAATACTTATATTTACTTCCGCTGTAACTGTAACTGTTTATTATCAATCGCGTAATCGCACAAATTCCAGAAAAAATTAGCGTGCGTATATGGATCATCATCACTCATACTTCACAAAACACACGCACACAGTAGGAGACCTGACATCTAGGTGTCGCCAGGCTGGCGACTTAGCACTATATTTAGTATCATCATATTTGCAGCTTTTGGAAGTCCTTTTTTATAAAATAGGCACATGTGGCTGTATATTACAACCATATTTTATTAAAATTTTGTGCAGCTCATAAACAAGAGTTCAATAGTAATATTGAATAGAAGTGTAGAATGTTTTATGCGGCCTTAAACTAATGTAAAGTAAGCTATTATCGCTTATGCTTGAGCAGTTAGACCACTCTTTCTGTAATTACGAATGTATTCGTCTTTGCAAGCGTAGAATATTAGGGAAAGTAATTCCTGGGGAGCTGCAGGATCTGTATCTACTGAATTGGTCTCAGGTGTTCGCCAACCTTCCATCCCACTCGAGCGGATTCTTTTTCTCATTCAGTCACTGCTACAGCTGATTGTAGGTTCTAAATGAATGCTGTGCCATGGTAGCTGCTGAAGGGAGAGAAGTGTAGCCAACTGGAACAATGCATCTATAGGCTGCTTTGCCTACATTACTGTATTACAATACTGGTAACAAAAACAATAATCTTGATCTTCAGTGTTCTGATGACTCCAAGCACAATTTCATTTTTCCAGAAAATTTAAACAATACGAAAAATTTCTACTTTTATACCCTCCGTGACTCTAGAATCGTTCACTTTAGAAAAATTGTACACAAAACCGTTTTTGTCTGCAATTTAATGTAGGTACATTATTTTTTGTTTACGGAACTTGTTTTTCTGCAAACTCTCGCTGTTTTGACTTTTGATCTTATTCTCTCTTTTTAGCGCATTTCCACAAAAAAAAAAATGCGCTATTGTGGCTACTTTGTCCGTCCGTCCGTCCGTCCGTCCGTCCGTCTGTCCGTCCGTCCTCTCGTTTTGCGACGCTACTAGTTTTTTATTTTAAGAGCTATTGTTCTACTTTTTTCGCTATTTGGTTCGTTATGGTGTCGAGTCTTGCACCAAGGAAGGAATTTTTTCTGTATCGCTTACAAAAAAAGTTATTGTAAAAAAAACAAAAAACCGTTTTTTACATGTTCCATAATTTTACACTTTTGCCGTTTATTAACGATCCTAGAGATCGTTTATAATTTTGTATTGCTGTCTGTCGTCTGTCTGTTGGTCTGTCCGTCTGTTCCTTTATTCACAGTGCCCTTTTCGCATCTCGACCATTTAGATACCGAATTGCAAACTTTTTTAATTATAAAAGTATTTAAATGAAATTTGATACATAGCCACTTGGAATAAAGGAAAATCAAACGCCAATTTCAAAATTTGGTTTTGCGCATGCGCAGTGCCAACTTTTTTTATTTATGGAAGAATTTAAATGAAATGTGATACATAGGCACTTGGAATAAAGGAAAATCTAACGCCAGTTTCAAAATTTGGTATCGCGCATGCGCAGTGTCAATTTTTTTATTTATGGAAGCATTTAAATGAAATTTGATACATAGGTGCTTGGAATAAAGGAAAATACCGCCAGTTTCAAAATTTTATTTTGCGCATGCGCAGTGCCAACTTTTTTTATCTATAGAAGCATTTAAGTGAAATTTGATATTTAGGCGCTTGGAACAAAGGAAAATCTTACATTAGTTTCAAAATTTAGGTTTGCGCATGCGCAGTTCCAACTTTCTTATTTAGAAAAGCATTGAAATGAAAATCTTCTCATAAACTGACATTGAAGTAGCACGACAAAAATGGATTGCCCATGTGCAACGCTATCTTTCATATTTGGGGCCGGATTTTTACGATTTTATAGAAGTTGCATCTTACAAATGGGAAATGAATGCAAGTGGAAATGCGCTTTATGTAAATCGTTTACGATTACTTTTTAACTTGTTAAATAATTGTAGGTAAATATAGTTTAGATATTACGAAGTAATATGGTAATGTAAATTGTAATTGGAGTGCTTTTCAGCCTCAATAATTACATACTCGCAATGCCGCATTGCTAATGGTATTCAGTAAAACGTAAAATCGTGTTTATTCATTGCAATAACAGCTATTATACATGAATAACAGCTCGAAATGCTACATTTGAAAAATGCGGTCTCTATAGCCTTGCGTCTCTTGATTAATTTTGGCATCAATAATCATAATGGCATAGAAGAACGAAACTTTAATATGATTCCAAATTAGTTTCTAAAATTTTAAAATAATTCTGACTGAAACAAAAACAACGGCCGGTTGCAAGAAAGCGAATTATAATCGAAATCCAAGATTATTTGCCAAATCTGAGATTAAACAAAAATTTTGGTTGCATGATCAAGTATTGGATTAAACTAATCTTGATTATTCTAATCTAAGTTTATTCCTACTATAATCCCTGATTACGTTGGTTTTGGGTTGCATGAACCTGTAATCCTACTTTTGTCATTGATTAAATCAAAATTATTCTAATTCGTCAAATCGGAGAATTAAGCTGGAATTATAACGAAGAGGTAGAGGCGCCAATTGTTGATGTAGATGATGACTCTTCGATGAGAACAGCACTAGGGAATACGGTGTTTGCTGTATGAGTGAAGAATTGAAGAATTATAGAAAATTCACATTTTTTTTTAAAGCAATTACTGTCGTATACTTGTTTAAACTAGACAAAGTTTGTGACAATTCAAGCCCTTAACCGGCTCTGTAAGTCTAATATAGTTTTGGAGACACAGCGTTTCAAAAATTCGTAAATTCTTCAGTTTTAATAAAATTTGCTTTTTTGCATAAAAACCTCTTAAACATTTTTATAATTTTGTTCGTTTGGGGGTACTTTGTGGTGAGGAGTCTCCATAAATCCGCATAGAAGGAGCTAGAATGTTGATATCCTCTGGATCCTCAGCTTGTCTCATGATAAGAAAGTTGTCATCTTCCTCTTCTTCAGCAAGATCCACTACCTGTTGCATGGATTGCGAAATCTGTGAATTTTTTCCTTTTGCCTGACCTTGCTCGACAAGGGACACCGATTATTAGAAGATCTGTGACAGTATCAGAAAGCTTACTCACTAACACTGACTATGGTTTGAATAAGGCATCGTATAAACATGGATATTTTTCCAGTATTTCAATATTTAATTTGCTTTCATTATCCGCAATTTTTAGCACTTCTTCAACAACAAGTTACGACAATTCATCGTGCAAATTTGGTAAGTTTAGATTCTGCAAAAAAAAAAACGCAAAGTTTGATAAAACTTGTAAAACTAATAAATTTACCAATATTTGAAGCTCCGTATCTCGGAAACTATTAGAGTTGCAAAGATCGTTAAGGGCTTAAATTGTCAGAAATTTTGTCTAGTTCATAAAAGTATACGACAATAATTGCATTAAACTCGATCCTTCAGTAGTAAAACTTACAAAAACCAAAAAATGGTAAGAAAAATGACATATTTTCAAGTGCTGTGTCGCTCGCACAGGTCTTTCAATGTCGAAAACTTGGATTTTTCATATCCATATTCATCCTAACAATTTAAAAGAAAAAATAGAGATGACATATCTGATGCACGGAATGCCCATTTTTTGGTCTAATTTGACTGTACTATCAACAGATTTAACACTACGCTATCACCTCACAAACGTCAAATTAGTGTTGCGTCAAAATAGGGGTGAATTCACAACGACTTGGCGTGGGATTATAATAATTCTAGAATTTCAAAATCTAAGATGCGATTAAGTACGAGAAACCCGATCGTGTACTAATCTCGGCTTATATGTAACTCAGGATTTCCTAATTCATGTACATTCCAACCGTCTTGCAACCGGCCGCGAGAGTTTTACAAAATTTGCTGTGTACATTCCTTGGTACATTCCTATGGTGCAATATTGTCTAACAATTTTGGGATACCTATACTTTTCGAAATATTTGTTTAGGTCTACTCTATTAATCCTAATAATTAATGTTCTTACAAATGCCAAATAGCAAATTCAAAATTCTGAAACGGTCGCAAAATATTAATGTTTACTTCTTCACTATCGAAAGCATACGTTTAACATTTTGCCAAACAAACTGAGCAATGAATTAGATAAGTTTAAGACCGTGAACAAGATCGCAAACATAATAGGGTATAGGAGTTGACATGACATAGCCAACGTATGCAACATCTAACATACATCGGTGACCACGTATAAAAGTTATTGAAGTTTAAATTACCAAAATGGCAATAAATCACGGTGCTTTTTAAGATACAAACATTTCGTGTGGCACAACTTTATAGTAAGTATTACTGCGGAAAAATTAGTACTCTAAGGACAATTCCCATAAAAGCAATCCAAAATCGCAGAAATGAGCCCAAACAATAGCACTTTTTATAACAAAAATATGCAAAACCGTGCCGAT